CAACAACAACAACAACAACAACAACAACAACAACAACAACAACAACACTGCATTAATGGTGTTGAAGCAGGAAAAAATAGTTTGGGAAAGTAACTTTTCAACACAATACATTCTAAACTTAGAAACATGCTTAGATTTTATGCGATTTCAACTATCATTCTACTAAAAGTGGGATTATTTTCAGTTTTTATTTGCTTTGTCAACATGAGTAATTTTAAATTGATTTTAAATGTCAAGCATCAAGTGAATCTGTGTCTGAACTTTAAAAAAGTGCAGAAGTTGCTGCACTGTGCCGTTTGTTTTGGTAGATTTGCCGTGATTAAAACACGTAGTGAAGCTGTTTTCACATGTATCGTTTTATTTTATATTTTTTGGCTAAACCCTGAAGTCTGTCTGTATTTCATTATTGATGTATCATCATGTGACTGTCTTTAGTCTCGACTATGAAGCATTTGATCTGTGCAAAACCAAAGTGAAAACTCACAGCAGGTAGTTCTTGTTGAATCTTTGGAACTTTACTGGAGATCTGAAGCCCTCTGCTCATTTTGAGAAACTTGCTTCTCTCCCTCTTCCTCCTTTGCTGTTTAATCCTCTGCTTCCTTAGGTTTTGAAGACTTCGAGCAATCGCAGGGCAGCACATCTAAAAAGAGGTGGAGGAATGATATGTAGGATATTTAGTGCTGTGTAAAGCTTACAGGTACAGGTGTAATGGGCACAGAGCAGGACTTACACACATGAAGCCTCGCAGATCTTTAATGAGTTTGTACTGAGATAAGCATATGGAACAGTTAGGAGGAGTGACCGGCCCGACTTTACCTGCGGAGAGAAATACAATAAAAGCACAGCTGGGTTTGAACTTGAGCCTTAAATGTAGCCAGGATTGTTTTACATTTAAAAGCTGCCTCGACTAACAGAATAGGTTCAAGCTGGATCTACGAAACGATTACCTTTTCGTATAAGTTTGTCAGGTGCTGTCAGTTTGTTGCTTGAAAGGGATTTTGACCGTTGTTTCTTGGGTTTTGTAGCAGAGGCGTCAGCCGAGGGAGAAGTTTTCTGTGTTTCCAGTGGACTGGATTTGAAGTCCACATTGTGATCATTCAGAACCTTCTGGGCTGCTTCACCCGAAACCACACCTGAATTAGAAAGACAGTCTATTTTAGTTTTAAGTTGAGCTGATGTTTTCTAACCTGAAGCTGACTGTGGTGAGTACCTGTGATGATGGGGATGGGCTCAGATCCAGGTGGAGGAGCGCGTTCAGAGGGAGGAGCCGGAGTGGAGGAAGGGGTGACACTAGCAGTCGAGGAGGCTGTGGTGTTCACAGGGCGGTTCCATGACGTACTGCGGACAGTCAGGTGGACGGGCATCTGGATTGTGGTGAAGCTACTGGCTGAACCTCTAGGATAATTGCGCAGCCTCAACACTGTCTTGCCACCTGCAGGACAGACAGAAAACCTTACACACTCCTGCAGCGGGACTTTATGCAACAGCTTTAAGATACAATAAAATCAACAAACTCCTATTGATGAACCTCAATTGCAAGATTTCAGCCTTTAAGATCAAATAAAAAAACTAAGAAGTCTCACAAGCTCCATTACTGACTGTGCCAATGAGTTAAGCAGAGCTTTTTATTCTTGTGGAAAACACTGAACTGAGTGCACTTGTTAATGTAGAACAAACGTACCTACAGTCTGGAAGGGGATGTGTCGACCATTTACCCTGAAGCCATAAGCAGAATCTGCAGACTGAAAAAATTAGGCGTATTAAAACAATGAATGGCAACTAAAATGAGTGACAATCCAAACCTACGGGTGATCATTCAACGACGGACATGATGAATTGAATATCACAGACACGATCAATTATATCATTGCATGAAGATTACATTACCTTCATAGTCATGTTGGGTGTCGGGCGGTTGGGGGTGTTCACTGGTTGGACTGGGATAGGGATGATCCTGACTGGTGGAGTGTTTACTTCTTCCTCTTCATCCTTTGCTTCCTTTTTAAGACTGACAGAGCCCAACATCTCTACACACAGACAAGAAATACATCTGATCTGCTTGAATTTAAAATAAAACAACATCTATTTCATCTAATAAACAACAGATTTATAATAGATTTTTTTTTTTTAATTACCAATATTTTATAAGCTACATCATAACATTTATGGTTCTGTGTAAAAAGTGCGAACTTCCTTTGGGGTGCACAAAGAATTACTAGAATTTTGTAGTTTTCACAGGTGGTTGAAGATTATTCTGTGCTTTTTAGAGCTTTGTAATGTTTTGAAGGCAGATTAGAGCAGGGCCTGCAGTGATGTAGATGATGTACCTGCTTGGTGCGTTGAAGGAACAGACGAGTCAGAGGGTGAACCTGTCGGTATGAAAAGAAATAAGGTTAAAAAAACAACAACACTTATTCATTAGTTATGGGCAGTGACTGAAAACACTATTTTGTAAGTCAAGTAAGTCCAATTTAAATAAAGCAACAGTTGTTACCAAAGCGCTGAACAATAAAAGATTATGGCAGAAATTAAAAAAGAAAATACAAAAATTAATTTAAAAGAATCAAAAGAAAAACATAAAAACAAGACAATAAAATACTAAATCAAATCACACTGGATTAAAAGTCAGTGAAAACACGTGTTTTAAAAGAGATTTAAAAACAGGAAGGGATGTGGACTGTCTAATGTCTAATGGGGGGGCAGATTGTTCCAAAGTTCAGGGGTCGCGACTGAAAAAGCCTGCTCTTCTGAGCTTCAACCAAAAGCAACTGGTCAGATGGTCACAGCGCCCGAGAAGGAGCATAATGGTGAAGTAGATCAGATATGAGGGTGCAAGGCCGTTTAGGCACTTATAGACCAACAGGAGAATTTTAAAACTTTTCTATGACGCACAGGGAGCCAGTGAAGGCAGGATAAAACCGGTGAAATATGCTCAAACCTACGAATTTCTGTTAAAAGTCGAGCTGCAGCATTTTGGACGAGCTGGAGACATGAAAGGGAGAGCTGACCCCAACGTAAAGTGTGTTACAGTAGTCTAGTCTGATTGTAATGGATGCACTACAAGTACTGAACAACCCTCATACGAAAACACATTCTGTACTACAAGTGCTGCTTCTCAATAATAAATAATAATTGGCTTCAAAATGTTTCTTAAAAATCCTAAAAAATGTGATCCTGTACAACTACGTGAAGTATCACCTTTAATTAGTTTCTTCTCTTTTATTGTATGCTTCTCTGGAGGTAGGAAATGCACCTGGCTTCCCTTCATCATCCTCCATCAGCAGCAGCATCCAACTCTACCACCTTTCAGTACTCGCCGTCAGGAAAACTACATTCATAACAATATTCAAAACAAACAATAAAAAAATGCACAGAATAAACTACATTACTCCAAACATCCCGGTTCTTCTATATCAAAAGGTAATCTCTTGTCATTGCTGTGGGTCATTTTAAAAGTAAAATGTTATTGTATGTGTTGGTGTACAGTACTTTGACCAACAGTGTTGTTGTTAAAGTGCTTTATAAATAAAGTTGTTTTGTATTGTAATTACACAATATTTTGGACAACAAAAAGTGATTTTATTAAATAATAAGAAATATTGTTGTAGACATTCATTTAGGATTAAAGCATGGGGAAAACAACCCACTACAGCATGAAGGATTATGGAATTACCAAATCCAGATTTGATTGTGTGTAGTCCACTAAAGCGCTAAAAATATAAAGACAAAAGAGTTCATTTTGTATAAAAGGTCCAATACAAAGTCAGCAGAACAACAACAACCGTTTATTTAATTACTAAAATGAATAGGGATGCACAATGATATTGGCATGGTATCAGTATCGGACGATATTAACGTTAAAGTTCAATATTGGACATCGGCCATTCCATCAAAATAACTCACCAATATAAAAGGCGCTGTTTTTGTTTGACAACCCAGTGACAAGGATGCCTTCAGCGCCAGCACAACGTGATGATGTCACATGCGCTTACCTGATAATAATAATAATAGTGAATTTAATTTGTAACGCACTTTTCATTAACAAAAATGTCAAAGTGCTGCAAAGTCCTGATCTCACGGCGGAAAAGAAAATTCAAAATGCCGGCGGTGTGGAAGTTTTTTTTCCGTTGGTGAGGATGTTGGATTCCGAAGATTTTTGGACTACGTTGAGCCTCACTACATCGTCCCCAGTCGGAGATATTTTTCCGACGTAACCTTACCCAAGTTACAAGCCATCATTTCTGACGTCATTGAGAAGCTAATAGTTGATAGCACTGTTGAGATTCACCACAGACATTTGGACGTCGTGTTAGCCCTGTTAGCATGATTAGTCTTACGGCACAATGGATAAACAAAAACTTTGAACTTACAAAGGCTGTCCTTCATGCTAGGAACCCAGAACAAGCCTCCACAAGTGAGACAGCATCGCAGGTGACTAATGCTAATAAATAACATTTAACACTTTTAATTTATATAAGTTAAAGTGCTATGCATATCATATGGCTGTTACTGAATATATATCACCTGCTTTTACACAATTTTTGTAGCAAATAAGCCTAAATAAAAGGGCTATGTTCTGACAATGGAAAAGTATATAAAATATCGGTATCGGCCAAATATCCAATATCGCGCATCCCTAAAAATGTAAACAAAAGTTTAAACAAGTAACAATCTGACAATAGATGCAGTGGAAATTTTCAATATGTTAGTTTGTTTTAACTCACTGCAAAGCAGGTTTCTGTCCACTTGTAAAAAAAACAGACACAGGACCAACATAAACTAGTATTTTTGAATCTACTTCCAAATTATATCCATGTTTTCATCACGCTGTGGCAAAATGCAAAAACTGTTTTCCAGGCTTATATTTTGCCTAACAATGAACATATTAATGAGGAATAAAAGCCTTTTCAACCAACATGATTGATCACAGCTAATTTTGACTAAAATAATTTACTGGTGGCTCCACTTTGCTTTTCTTAAATTAGAAACATCTTCAAAAACATCCTGATGCTGCAAATTAATCCAGGTAGATAAATCTAACAAGGTTTAGTCAGGTCGTCTGGACATTCGTTTTTGTCGAAACGTTTCGTCTTTTATCCAAAATACTTCATCAGTCTGAAGAAAAAAAGAATAATGAAAAAGTATTTTGGATAAAAGTCAAAAACGTTTCAACAAAGAAGAATCCGTCCAGAGGACCTGATTAACAACGCATTTCATTTTATTTGCTGTAGGTGTTAGCTCAAAGCTATGCTAGTGAATCTCATGGATCTTCAGAAGCAATTCTTATATATTTTTCTAATTAAGATTACTTGATTTTAATAATAGCTAAAAACTAATGTTTAAAATTCTCCTGATTGATGAGTTGGTCTGTTAAAGAATCCAAGAAACGCTGGTAAACTTTTAAGATTCAGTTAGCAAGATAAGCTAGCCCAAGTACTGCTCAAATGAAGTTAAAATACGTTACATTTACATTATATCAACAAAGCCTACTAAAGATAACCACCTCTACACTTCATTTCTTTGTAATTATCCAAACATGTAATTACCAAAAAGCTTTGTAGGGTTGTACTACAGTAGGGCTGCTGGGCTTTTCCTGCACGCACGTTCAAGCCCGCGCCCTTCACTCCTGTCAGGCAGTTTAGCAAACAGGCTAACATGTTAGCAACTAGCCGAGCAGCTAACTCTTTGACTTTATTTACTGTGCAAAAGATGTCCGTTTGAAAAGTATGTCACGTAAGAACTTACCTTATCCTGGTTTTTATTATGATAAATAAATGTTTATTCCGTTAAAATCCATAAAAAAATTCACATAATTCTAGAAAATGAAGCATAAATGTGCATCCTACAAAAAACTGTAAGCTGGCAGGAACAGCTAGCACAAAAACACGTTGGGTCTGTTATGCGGTGAGTGACTGTGAGAGCACTGTATCCCTCCGCCTTCGCGCTGTACTTGGCTGTTTCTGCCATTGGTACTAGATTCATACAGGGCGGAGTGATATCCGGCCAATAAGGAACTGAGGTCTGTTATTACTAAACAACAAAAAGACAAGATAAATAATTTCCTTTTATTCCCGATTCTGTTCGTCAAAATGTGAAATGCACGCAGCTTGTATACAATACCATGTCAGTTCTGACAGGACGCTTTCACTTTCTTTATTGTGGAAAATAATGCGTGCACGCTAACATGCATGCTAACAGTTATTAGCGTGCTTTTTAAAAAAAGATAAGTTACTGATAAATAGTTTTCCGATAACATTTTTTGGTTTTGAAATATCACATTTAACTGTTTAAACAATTGTAATACATGTTTAATATTTAATTTGTCAGCTGCAGAATTGAACTACTAAAAAAAAACTACTACTAAAACTAAAACTACTAAAAAAAAAAAAACAAAAAAAAAAAAAAACACTTTTTTCCACATTTAGCTTCCTAAATACAAGTACTTCTTTGTTTTTATATTCTAGTTTATGAATGTAAAATTAAAATAACAGCTAAACTGTAAGGATACTGAACAAGTATGACATCTTGCTTGCTTAATATGAGAATAAATAAAAACACAAATTATTGCCTAAACACACTTAAACCATCAATAATTAACCCCAACATACTTTCATTGTAATGTTCCTTATTTAACGTTTATGGTCCTTTAACTTTAGCTCTACTATTTACTCTTAAATATTTGGATCTTCTAACAAAAGCTAACAAGCTTAGACTTGTTAATATATGAAACAGTTTGCTTTACTACAATTAAATGAAAGTTGTTGTAAAACAATATATTTTTTTACAGTTTGTCCAACCTGATGTAGCTGGTTTGAAACAGCTGGTAAGAATTTACTATATAGGCCTATAGAAATATCTAAATTTTGCATCACTAGGTGTTAACACAACCAGCAAATGTAGTCCTAAAAATTAATAAAGTTATTAGTAATTCAAATACATATAAAATGAAGTAGAGGTTTAGTCATTATGGTGTACTATTACAAATAAAGTCAGGCAAACTAAAAGTGTCTAAGCTTAACACAAAACTGCAGAGAAAGGCCGCCTGTTTTTGTTTAATTTTAAAATCTCTCTCTGTGTGTGTTTTTTTTTAGCAATATAAACATAAGAAAACAAACAAAAAATAAATCTGAGAGTGGAATGTGATAACTGGTGTAAAATGTGCTGGACTAATATACAGACAATATTAATTTGTGTTTACAAATAGATTTCATAGTCTGAAATACTGTAATTTGCCTATATAGAAAAATGGAAATGAAAGAGTGCAAAATATCAATCAGAAACCATAGATATGTACAAAATGTATCTTGATAATGTCCATCAAATGGAAATTAGCAGATGACCAAACTGTATATTAAACTGTGCATAGGAGAAGTAGGGAAACATCTACTGCCCTTCAGAACGCAAAACTAGTCGGACATCGCCCTTACGGGACTCCGTACCTTGTAGCCAACAGCCAAGTTATGTACGTACGACGACGTGGTGACGTCAGAGACCCGGAAAAGGCTTTCAGTAGTGTTGCCATAAGATCTCAGCTGATACAAAAAGGCAACGAACACATCTTTCCCGACAGAGTACGGGAGATATTTCTTTTACAGCTGCTCTTGCTTATTTGGGTTTGTTTGTATTTATCGTTAGTGTCGCACAGCGTCGCCATCATGAACGTGACGCTCGCGGTGAAGCAGTACATCTCCAAAATGATCGAAAACAGCGGGCCTGGGATGAAGGTTCTGCTCATGGACAAAGAGACGGTGAGACACAGGCGGTGCTGATACTTTATGTGTAATACTGTCCCCCTCAGAATGATTCCTTGTTTCTGTCCTTATGATGGAGCGGTAGTTACACTCAGTGTAATTGAAGAAGGGGATGATGTGTCCTGATGTGGTTAACGGTACACAGTACTGTGTTCGTGTGTTATATTCTGGTACTGTTTGTAGTATCCTGTTGAACTACTGACAAATTCATTGATACATTTGGGATTTAGGCCGCAGAAATCTTGCACAGTTTTCAAGATATGAAACAGTAAAACACAATGTGCATATCTATCTGAAATTTGCTGTTTATTTATTTTTCATAAATTTGCAGCATTAAAAACTCATTCATTCATCTAACAAGGTTAAGTCAGGTCCTCTGGATGGATTCTTCTTATCCAGAAGACTTCATCCGTCTGAGGAGCTTTTGGATAAAAGACGAAACGTTTCAAACAAGAAGAATCCGTCCAGAGGACCTGACTTAACCTTGTTAGATTTATCTACCTTGATTATTGCGCATGCATCAGGATGTCATGCATTTATGCTGCTTATCTGTGGTCAGGTCGCAGAGACGTGTTCATGAGAGAGTCAGGCATTCCTCTCTGCAGAGACACTCAAGGTGTTCCCAGGCGAGTGCTGGTTCTGCCGTGGGGTCTCCTTTCAGTGGGAAGTGTTCAGAAAACATCCAGAGGATCGACAATCAGTCAGAGCCTTCCAACACCCTGGAGTAAATTTTCCTGGAAGTGTGATCACTCAGTAATTGGAACATGCTCTTCAGGTTTTATCCCGGTTCCCCTGGCAACACTGAGGCGTGTCAACAATGACAGCCCTCAACATCCAAAATATTCCACATCTTGGGGTGAATTTCATCCACTCGTGGTGCCCTGCTGCCAAGAAGCTTCATAGCAACTTCTACCAAGTTAGACTTGCCTTTAAAGTCCTCAAATTCTGCAACCTTAAAGGACATGGGCACTATGGGGATTAATTCACGCAGATTATTTCTACCACCTTCAGACAATATCCTCAGTTCGAGTCAGCAGGTCCCTGCCCAAGCCAAGTACAGCCCTAGATAGAGCCTGCTTTCATTTCCTGGAAAAAAAACCCCACCTTTGTTTATAATAAAATCTACCAATATTACATAGGTTTAATTAGTTTATTTCTCAAGTTAACCCTAAAATATTTTTTACAATGTATTAGTAAAGTATCTGCAGCCTTCTCATAAAAACATTTCAAAATAACAAAGTCCGACTTGTCTGAAATGACAGATAAAGCGGCAGTCTTCTGTAACGGGGTAACTTTTTGTCCAGCTCCTCTGACCTCAGCTGCAACATTTAGTGTATAAAAGATTTCTAATATCTGCAAGCTGAGCTACTGATCAGCGTTAGGACGGATCACCCTGCCGTACGCTTTGTTTACATGTCTGCCAGAGTTTGTTTATTGTTGGAAAAAGATGTTCATTGTATGAGATGTTTAAAAAAAATTTCAAATTGTAGCCTGCTGTACTGTTGAGCAAACGTGTTCTTATATTCTGTGAGTATAATTTTATAACTGAGGCCTTTCAGAAAACCCTCGCATCTGGCCGCTCACATTAGTGATGCGTACAGTAAAAGAATAAAACAATTTCTTTTTTCTCGTTTCAGACCAGCATAGTGAGTGTAGTCTACACTCAATCTGAGATCCTGCAGAAAGAGGTTTACTTGTTCGAACGGATCGACTCTCAGAACAGAGACAGCATGAAGCATCTGAAGGCCATCTGCTTCCTTCGTCCCACCAAGGTCTTAAAACCTGCGTCCTTACTCTTTTGTAAAAGTGGTTCTGATAACGAGGAAGCTAACATTTGCTTATGTATTTCCTGCAGAATAACGTGGAGCACTTGATCCAGGAGCTTAGAAGGCCAAAGTACAGTGTCTACTTCATCTGTACGTAACCATAGTAACACTGATTGATGCTGTCACACATAGAATGAGCATGAGTGAGGCGAAGATACAGGGCATACAAGCTAACTTATTGTATTGGATGTTTGTGACATAGAGCCACCTACCTCAGCCGCTTTGTTTAAAGTTCACCTCTGAGTTCTGTGTTTGTTTCAGACTTCAGTAACGTGATCAGTAAAAGTGAGATCAAAGCTCTGGCTGAGGCTGATGAACAGGAGGTGGTGGCTGAAGTCCAGGTGAGTCTCGAGTCCTGAATCTTATTAAGTTCTGACTCGGGTTCTGTCTTTCTGCAGAGGCGACCGATACCGTCCTCTAACGGGATAACTGAGCGCTTCTTACTGCTCAGGACCCTGGTTGATTGACACAATATATACAAAAAATATAGGGGTGCAACGATTGCCGTTTTCTGGCCTATCACCCATTTCTAAAAGTCTGACCTGCTGATTCCGATTTCGTTTTATTAGCGACACTGTCAGGTGTTATAAGGTCACAATGCACCTTTAATTTTCCAATCTTATTTTATTGAAAAACATACCCTTGAACAATATCCTACTAACAATACAAACTTGTTTTAACTGACCATGAGGTAGTGCTCTGAAATATAAATGAAGTTTAGACAATTGTTGTTAAAACTGCAAAAAATTCGGTAAAATCGGTTTCTCATGTAAGGAAGTCGGGGCTGGTTTATCGGTGCACCCCTACTTAATAGGGTTTAACTTTAAATTGTTCATTAGCACTTAAGTAATCTACAAAATGATCCTACTGATCAAATACAATATTCAATTCATGACCACTAAAAGCAAAGTAAATGAGTTTGACACAGTTTCACAAGCATGAGAAAAAGAAAAACGAACAACGGATGATTAATTAAACTACTGCTCTGTACTGCGTTAAAAGTAAAAAACATCAACTTTTTATTATTATTAAAGTTTATTCATTTTTTAAAACAAAACAATTCTATGTACAATAAGAAATACAATCGCAAATAAAATGAAAGGCAGTGGAAAGAAAAAATAAATCTTATCTGCCCCTTTTTTCAATAAATTAATTCAAACAATAAAAATCATCAAATAACAAAAACAAAATAAACAACTTCTCGAGCAACACATTAAGCTATTTAATTATTATTATTTTTTTTTTACAAATCAACTTTGATCATTTTCTTAAACATAAACATACATATATGGGGGAGTGGTGGCGCAGAGGTTAGAGAAGATGGGCCTGTGATTGGAAAGTTGCAGGTTCAACTCCCGGTACCATTAACAGAAAAAATGTGGGTGAAAAAGGTGGAACACCCACACCTGCCTCCACCCTCATTTGCCCCACTCTGGGCCCATGAGCAAGGCCCTCAACCCCCACCATCTGCTCCCTAAACAGGTCTTTCTTGAAAATGAGTTCTCGTGACTCGGTGAGACTACCTGGATAAATAAAGAGTAAATGAAAAAAATAAATAAATACACATCAATCTGGCATTTTTAACATCACTCTCCGGATTATTTCATAATCTAATTCCTTGGATTGAAGTAGACCGTCCCTTCAAACTAGTTCAAAATTTAGGTTTCACAAATATCTCTATCTCCTTAAAATTATAACAGTTCTCTCTTTTAACTAAATTTAATTGGATATTTAAAGGTAATGTGTTATTACGAGCCCTATACATAACTGATAAAATACTATAATCTACCAAATCATGGACCTTCAATAACTTCAGTTGATAAAATAATGTGCCTGATGGGTGACTGACATGCTTTATAGTGATAATTCTTACAGCTCTTTTCTGTAAAACAAAAATAGGATTTGTAATTGTTTTTGCACGTTTTCCCCAAACATCATAGATTAAGTGTGGAACAATGATTGCATTATACAACATATACAGAGCTTTACTTCTTCTAGGTTACAACAAAATCAAAAATGTTAGTTGAAATACATTGGATGCAATGTAAATTATTCAAATAATCAATATTTCTCATTTAAATTCCTAACCCTTAAATCTCATTGCAGCGGTTTAATTGAGTCTGAAACAAGCTTTTAGTCCAAAGGGGGTCTTATCGTGATGAAACGTCCAACAGCTGCTGGTTCTGGATCAGTTCTTTATAGTTAATTAACAACTTTCCTGTTTTCATATTAGTTTTTAGGCAAAGCAACAAGTACCTAAACTGTGTGTGTTTCTGCAGGAGTTTTACGGAGACTTCATCGCAGTGAATCCTCATCTGTTCTCCCTCAACCTGCAGGGAGTCGCCAGGGTAAGAACAATCCAGGGTTTCTAACGAGTCACCCTTTTTTAGCTGAACATGATAAATATTTCTGTGTAAAAATGAACTCCTGGCTGCTTTTGCTTTGACCACTAACAAATGAAACTACTCTTGTTCTGTTAGCACCTGACTGCGTGAGATACTTGTATTTGTAGATGTGCCGTCTTTGTTTTTGAAGAGTTTGAAGCTGAAAGAAACGGGCGCGCTCAAGTGTTTGAACAAAACCTTTCCAAGTGGTCCAGGAAGCAAACGACGTGATGACGGAGTCATTGGTGACGTGTTTATTTGTGTTTTAGGGTCGCAGCTGGGAACCCTCCATGTTGTCCCGCTGCACTCAGGGTTTGACCTCCGTCCTGCTCGCCCTCAAGAAATGTCCAATGATCCGCTACCAGCTGTCCTCGGACATGTCCAAACGCCTTGCTGAGAGCGTCAAGGTTTCCATGACAACACGCCCATAACACTCAGTCTCTTTGCTCATGTTTCAATGCGACTCAAGCTTTCTGTTTGATGTTCCTGCGCCTCAGCAACATTTTATTTAAATTGATGCAACTGCAAAACCAGAATCATTGCGAGTAATTCAGTTTAAACCTTAAAGGACATTCTGTTAATAATAGTCGAGAATGAGGCGATTTGTTTCACAGTATTTGTGCTTTTCCTGGAGTAACCGACAGTTTTCTGTTCGCAGCAAATCATCACGAAGGAATACGAGCTGTTCGACTTCAGGAAGACTGAAGTTCCTCCTCTGCTGCTGATCCTGGACCGCAGTGACGACGCCATCACGCCGCTGCTCAACCAGGTGACCAAGCGCCGCGCCGCGCTTCCGTTGTGTTAGACTACAGGAAACCAGTTGTAAAGTCTGATTTTAATTAATTTAACTCTTCTTTTTTTTTTTTAAATGCACATTAGATCTGGGTGTTTAACTCCTCTTTTAAAGTAATTTTGACTTATTTATCAGTATTTAATTTTTTTTAGTTATAATTATTATTATTTTTTGTTATATTTTAAAGTTTTATTATCAGTTTATTATTTACAACCCTAAAAATAAAACAAATGGTCATTTTTATGTAATTTTATGGTTTGTTTTTGCAATATAATAATCAATGGGTCATTTGTAATTATATTTTAATAATTACCTATTTATTTTAATCTATAAAATTAGTGTTTTACATGATGATGATGTTGAATTATGAGCTATATGACATTAGCTATCCATTACTTTTTCATTGTTTGTTTATTTGTGTATTTGTGTTTGTTGTAAATTTAACCTGATTCAGTTTAAAGTGAATCGGATTCTTGTCTCCTTCCATCGTTTATAATGAAGTCTTGTTTTATTTATGTTGTTTAAATAGGAAGCTAGACGAATATATGAAAATGTTTCCAGTCACCGTTCGGCTGTTTGTGTATCAAACGCTCCGGCGTTACTGACATGTTGGTCTGTGTGTGTGTGTGTGTGTGTTGCAGTGGACGTACCAGGCGATGGTCCACGAGCTGCTGGGTTTGAACAACAACAGGCTCGACTTGTCCAGAGTCCCGGGGATCAGCAAAGACCTGAGGGAGGTGGTGCTGTCTGCGGAGAACGATGAGTTTTATGCCAACGTGAGTCTTTAACAGCGACGTGGAGGACAGCTGTTTGAATCACTTCTTCTTAATTTCTTATAAATTCTTCTTCTTTAGCATTAAAGTCTGTGGAGAGAACATCTGCCAAGATCAAAAATAGATTTTCAACGTTTCCTTTGACTTAAATATCCAAAATATAGTCAAGAATAACGTTTTGAAACCTTTTCTGAGCAGAACCAACAACTACCGTACTTGCTGCCGTACACGTCGAACCGCTGTATAACTTGCATCAGTCCAAATATGTCTAATAAAGTGGAATAAAACATAAATACATCGCTTCGCCGTATAAGTCACATTTATCATGCGTCACAGCTGAGAACCCGGAAACGTGGGCCGGTGTTGTGCCAAAAACCGATTGGCTGCCAAATGGCGGCCGCGGGAGCGTGCACGTGAGGACTTTAACAATAATTTAACAAGATTAACACTTAAAAACAATCATTTGTTTGCTCGAAGTTATAGTAAATGTGTGTCTCAGCTGAACTTTTCCTTAATAAATGCACTTTGACGGTCAAATCACACTTGACTTGCCACATGTACAGAAGACGCACTTGAAATATTTGACAGAGTCATTAATTAGTAAGTAAAGTTTATTTATAAAGCGCTTATTACAGACATAAAATGACAAAGCGCTGTACAATAAAAAATCAACGCTAAAATATACAAAGAATAAAACAAGTCTAAGAACTACAAGAAGCACAGTAAGTTATTTCAGTCCAGAGGGCTTTGTTTTCTGCAGAAATGTTAAAAAATAACCAGTTCCCGCACAATTTTTATCGTCTGACTTTTTGACAACGGTTGTTAATTTTTGTGTCTGCATTTGTGCGTTCATGTCTGTTAGCATAATAAGTCATGAGCAACTCGATGAATTTTAATTAAACTCTCCAAAAGTAATCATTGGATGTACATTTACAACTGTTGAACATCTGGAGTCAATCTAGTTTAAGATGGCCGCCTCAGCCTACTGATCTTAGGAAACACTATAATTTATTCACTTTCACAGACATTTGGCTAAATTTTAGAGTGGCAGTAGTTAAGAGTTTTTCCCAACACATACATAAAGCTCTACACAGTGTGCAGCAACTTTGATTAAAATGTTGGCAATAATTGTCTGTTAACAAAACATTTCATGAACCACTGAATGGATTTCAGTGAAACTCTCGGAAAGCGATCATTGGGTGTACATCTACAATGGATTGACTTTTGGAGTCACCTCAGTTCAAGATGACGGCCACAGCTAAGCAAACTGAGCAAACAAAAGTAAATATCGCACGAGCGAACAGTGGTTAGTACTGTTGCCTCACAACAAGAAAGTCCTGGGTTCAATCCCTGGTTGGCCCTGGGGTCTTTCTGTGTGGAGTTTGCATGTTCTTCTTGTGCTTGCGTGGGTTTTCTCCGGGTACTCCGGTTTCCTCCCACAGACCAACAGCATGCATGTTAGGCTGCCTTCAGGCGCCTCTTGTAAAGACAGCTATGATCTCAATGGGATTTGCCTGGTTAAAGAAAAGTTAATAAATATTAGTCGAGGGCCCTCTAGTGGCTAAAAATGGTAGTGTTCAATATTTTCCATGTCAGAATGAATGAAATTGTCCGATCTCAGCTAAAAATTGGATTATAAATATGTTTAAAAAAAACATAAATACATCGCTTCACTGTATACATGGCAGGCATGCTAATTTATGCAAAAAACTACAACTTGTACAGCGAAAATTACAGTAATATGATTTGAAAAGCCTTAAATTATCTCTACTTTCCCTGTGAGCTAGCAAAGCTTCTGTTCTTTTAAGCTGGGAAATCCTGATAATAAATAGGGTTTGAGGTTTGGATGTCAATAAATCCTCAGTAGAATACTTTCAAAATAAGACTCAGACACATGGGGTAGTCCAGATTAGCAAGACAAATCTGTTGAATCGCTCATGATAACTTATCTGGATTATCTGGGTTTCAAAATGTAGTTTAAATGTCAAGAATCTGAAAATGGGCTAAATTTAGTTTTGATCAAATCTGATTTAATCCTCAGTTTGATGTGATGCGTCACATATAGTCCAAACAGGACAAATTACAGGTAAAAACTGACCCAACATCTGAGCTTGTTTCCACGAGTGTTGTTTATTTTTTTTGCAGCTGCTGCGTTGTTACAACCCGTTTCAGTTAAACAGATGTTAAAACTGATATTTCTCAGTTTGCAACAGTTCATAGATCATGGCTTTGCTGCCGAGTTTGTCAGAAACAACGCGTGTAAAACCTGCTGAGCATCTTTTAATAAAATTACAAACGTTTTTGCATTTTCATTTCTCGATTTTAGAACTTGTATATGAATTTCGGAGAGATCGGCACCAACATAAAGAACCTGATGGAGGATTTCCAGAAAAAGAAACCTAAGGGGCAGCAGAAGCTGGAGTCCATCAGTGACATGAAGGTCAGGAGTGCGTCTAATGTTCAGCGGGAGCAGTGACGTCATCGTCGGGCCGAAACGACCCGGTCCGGATGTTTGATTGTCCGGTGTTGTCCCCGCAGGCGTTTGTAGATAACTACCCTCAGTTTAAGAAGATGTCGGGCACCGTGTCCAAACATGTGACGGTGGTGGGGGAGCTGTCCCGGCTAGTGTCGGAGCGGCAGCTGATGGAGGTGTCGGAGGTGGAGCAGGAGCTGGCCTGTCAGAACGACCACTCCAACGCTCAGCAGGTGCCACTCTGCTCCGCACGCTTCGTTCATATCACCACCGTCTCCACATCTACTCTTTCCAGAAGTGATTTTTACTACTTGAATATTTGTTTTGCCTAGAAGAGCAGCAGAAAACACAAAAGTAGCACTAAACGGATGTAAATTGTGATGAGCTGCAACAAGCTAACGTGTGTTTCCTCAGAGTGTTCGGCGGCTGCTGCAGAATCCTCGCGTTTCGGAGGTGGACGCCGTCCGTCTCGTCATGCTTTACGCTTTGAGATACGAACGCCACAGCAGCAGCATCCTCCCGTCTCTGATGGATGAGCTGAGCAGGAAAGGAGTGTCTGAACGATATCGCAAGGTAATTATTCGCATTCTGACATTTTCCTTTAAAGTAAAACCATATTAGAAATTCAGATGAGCCTGCAGTTACTACATTTCGCCTCTAGAGGGCAGTGAAACCCGCTGACTGTGTGTCTCCACAGATGGTTCAGTCTGTGGTGGAGTACGGTGGAAAGAGGATCAGAGGAAGTGACCTCATCACGCCCACAGACGCTGTCGCCATCACTAAACAGTTCTTTAAAGGACTAAAGGTACAACACAACATAAACCGTTACATCTGCCATGAAAATGTACTGAATTAATTTTAGTTTATGCCACTTTAACTTTTGTTTTGTTGCGTCTGCTCAGGGTGTGGAGAACGTGTACACTCAGCACCGGCCTCTGCTCCACGACACTCTGGACCAGCTGATTAAAGGTCGACTCAAAGACAGTCAGTTCCCGTACCTGGGAGCCAGCAGCCTCAGAGACAGGTGACCGACACGCAACAATCCAGGAACACTCCTGAAAAAACAATTACCGTATTTTCCGGCCTATAAGTTTTTTTGTATAATTTGCATGCCCTGCAACTTATACGCCGACGTGACGTATTTATGGATTTTTTCCCATATTTATAAACCAATTTTTGGTTGAGATATGAACGTTTTCATTCATTTTGACTGAAAATATTGAACACTACAATTTTCAGCTGTTAGATGGCACTCAAGTAGTATGGCATGCTGTTGTGTCATGTAACAGGTAGAAGTGGCTATTAATGAAACAATCTGCTTGCCATAGCCTGCTACCTTTGTCCAGCTCGCTTGGAGCAACCGTCAAATCAGCTTCATTTCACTGCACCGCCCGGTGAAATGCATTTATTAAGTAAAAGTTCAACTGAGACACACCTTTATTATAATGTCAAGCAAACAAATAATTGTTTTAGGTGGCTATCTTGTTAAATTTTGAAGAAATGCACAGCGAGTTCTCCCATGCACACTCTTACTTCCGCGTATCGGCTTTTGAGATGCAGCTGATTTGACCTCAAAGTGCATTTACTAAGAAAAGTTAGATTGAGACACACATTTGCTATAATTTCAAGCAAACAAATAATTGTTTTTAAGCGTTAATCTTGTTAAATTCTTGTTAAAGTCCTCCCGTGCACGCTCCCGCGGTCGCCATTTGGCAGTCAATCGATTTTTGGCGCAACCACATTTCCGGGTTGTCAGCGGTGATGCATAATAGATGCAACATATACGGCGAAGCGATGTATTTATGGATTTTTCCACTTTATGAGACTTATTTGGACTGATGCGACTTATAGGGCGAAGCGACGTGTACGGCAGAAAATGCGGTAATGCACACCTGACAGAGAGGTGAGGTACATAAGAGCTCCATCTTCGACTGACGTCTTAGAGCAGGAGCATCCAAACGTTTTCATATCTGTGCCAAATGTGAATTTAACTCAACAAGAATATGAACAATATTTTGGAAAAAGGACAAAAGTTTACTAATTTTGGTGGAGATTTGTTGTAGATCCAAAATATTAAAAGCTTCACAAACACTAACCTTGTATTTTTTATTTAAAATGATTACCGGTAAATTTATTTGATTTGTTCGGTCGATGGTTTTTTTTTTTTGTTTTGCTTGGAAAGTTAATTTTAGTTTGTTCTCAGCAACAAAAGTGTAATATGAGTACAGGCAAGTGTCCGTTTAAAAGGGGGTTGATCAGACTTTTGGACCATGAATGACCCAAAATGTTGATCAAAGTTCTGAAAGATCGTCCAGCTCAAAGGTTTGACGAGACACTGATAAAGTTGATCAACTTATATGTAGATGATACCACTTTATATTAATTAAACCACTTCATATTAATTGAAAAATGTCAAATTTCCTTGTATTGATTGTTATATCAACTGTAATTAGTTATATTTAGCCAAGTTTTATGAATAATTATCCAAAAGTCTCCTTTTTGATGGCAGTCTGTAAAGGTTTGTGGTGCTTTGTGCCATGACGTGAAAATAAAAAGAATTCATTACAGCCAAAGGTTTGTATTTTACTTAATATTTACTCATTTTGAGAATATTTTTTTCCATCCGTTTTGCTGTTAAACCTAAACATGATATAAAAAAAGATTACCAACTAATTTGCAGAAAGTCTGCATTAACCTCTTAAGCCTGCTGACTAAAATGATACCATTCTTAAACTGCGGAGTTGTGGGCCGCACAAAATCACTCCAAGGGCCGCAAATGGCCCTCAGGCCGTACTTTGGACACCCCTGTCTCTTAGTCTGGTTACAAGCGCTGAAGAGGCGGATAAGTATTCTTCCAACTGAAAGATTGGTGACCCCCACCTGAACGCAGGAAACATCTCTCTTATAATTAGATTAGGATTATTGCTAGTGATGGATGAAACACCTGAGACAGATTATTCAGTGAGAAACAAATAAGAGGTATCTAAAAAAAGTTAAATCTGGTCCTCTAGATATTCAAATAAATAAATAAATAAATAAGAGGGAGGTCACGCAGAGCATGAATAACACGGCATGTCCTACACGTGACACAGCTCTGAGATAGATGTCCAACTCACATGACGGAAATGTTTTTCAGGCCTCAGGACATCATGGTGTTTATTATTGGTGGGGCCACGTACGAAGAAGCTCTGACTGTTTACAACCTGAACCGTAACACGCCCGGAGTTCGGATCGTCCTGGGAGGAAGCTCCGTCCACAACACCAAGAGGTATCGAGTGGCTCTCAAACTGTTCCTTTACTTCCTTTACTTCTCAAGGACTCCTTTGAAATAACCAAGTGATCCTAGAACGGATCCCTGTGGACTCCCCACAAAAGTTAAATTACGTCAAGTGTACGTTCTAGCAGAGAGTAGAAAACTTTAATTTACAGATGAATTTACCGTTTGTGCGTGAGTTTTTATTTCTCTCTGCCTCTGTCCATCAGTTTCCTGGAGGAAGTGATGTCAGCGACGAGCCACAGCAGCGACAGGGCGCAGGGAAGTAGTCGCTATAGCAACAGGCGATGAACACAGATGCTTCCTGTTGCTCCGTGTCTTCTTCTTTCGCCGAACAAACTGCGCCATTCCCTACACTTTCCTGTGTCTGCGTGTTTAAAGGAACAGTTCAACACTTCTGTGACACCTTCTGGTTGACGTCTTTAAACAATCAAGTGTTTTGTTATAAAGCAGCCGGTGGAGAGATCATTAAGAACAGCTCTCAGAAGAACAACTTCCTGCGGTAAAAGTGTTTTCTGACTGTGTTACGGCTGTTTTTAGGTAGCTAAGTCAGTAACAATTTACTAAATTCACTGTCAAATATCCAAGTCATGATTCAAATAAAAAAAACGAATGAAATGAAAAGATTTCGTGAGTTTAAGATCAAGGTATGGGGTCAAAACAATAGACTAAACCTGTATGCATCCTGCCGTGTTTGATTTGACTCGTAACTCTTTGTTTTTCTTCAGCTGAGGTTGTAACACAGTTTCTGTCTGTCTATATAGTATATTCCTTTAATGTGTGTGACAGAATGTAAATAAAAACTTAATATTAAAGCGTGCATGTGATAGAGATGTGTTTTATATTTGCTCACATTGCATTCATGAAATACCGTTTGGTTATTTGGTTGTTTCTGCATATTTTGTTGTATTTTAACCATATATCATCACGTTCAGGTGATCGGTGCCATTACCGTGTCTTTCGGACTATAAGGTGCAATATCAACGAACGGGCCTGTTTTCATTCATAAGGTGCACCGGATTATAAGACGCAATAAGCGAAACAAAACAGATAAGTCGAACTTTATTCAACTCAGTCACAATAACCACATAAAATCGGTTCGAGGTCAGTAAGCACAACCAGAATTAATGCTCAAGGCTTTCTGTCGATTTTTGAGAAAATTAAAGGATTTAAAGTAGGGATGCACAATATTAGATTTTTGGATGATATGTTAAAACTTATTTGGCCGATAACTGATACCAATTTTTTTTTTTCTGAGACCTACTTGCAGAGACTACATCGCTTTCTCTGCTGTGGAATTAAAATACATTATTCTGCATGATCTTTGTCAGTTTGGCTGCTACAGATGCCAAAAAAGGGGACTGAAAAAGATGTAACACTTCCACATGGGTTATGTTTAATGTCGAATTTATCATGACATTTACTTTCTCTAACACAATGACAACACTCAACTGTGTACATTTCACAGATCTAAACCTGTTCACAAGCAAAAAGTGAAAAACGCATTAGTAGTAGTGCATTAATGGATATACTTGACAGTTTCTTAAATTAAAATGAACTTAAAACAGAAGCCTTTTATATCGGTGAGTTATTTTGATGGAATGGCCGATAGACGATATTTAACTTTATCGATAATATCGACCGATACCGAAACAATGCCGATAATATCGTGCATCACTAATTTTACGTTTGCCTTATAGTCCGAAAAATACGTTACTTGTGTTGTATTTTCAGCTGCTTCCTTCTTCAGGCGGCGCCAGATGCCCTTCCCGACGCAACCTGGGTTCAAACCCACAACCCCAGAATTACAGGACTAACCACCGCACTACCGTGTACTTTTCAAAAATGTTACTGTGTTTTCCTCATAAAAACACTTTGAGATTAAATACATTGTTTTCTGTGTTTTTCCTTTAGCATACTCTGATTTTACTCTTACCTTATTTGACACTTGTACCTTTTCAGTATTGGTACGTTTGAATGACGTATTTAAAAGTATTTTAAATGTAGTTCTATTTTAAAGTCGTTGATGTGTCTTATTTAATGTTTTTGTAATTCTTTTATTGTTCAGACCATAAATATTAGTGAGTTTCTTCACAATGGGTTTGGGATTTTTGTCACCAGAGCTGTCTGGGTGTTAGTTTCTCCTCTCGCTGACTTCATCTCCTGCTCTCTGACATGGGGATGAAGGGAAACATCTGGATTCAGACGAGCTGACAGCTGTGGTGCCTGAACACAAGAGGATGTTGCGTGTTGAAGTTTAACACCGAGGTGAGCTTCCGTTACGACGGGAAGGCAGGTCAGAGAAGTCGGGGCCGTTTTTTCCACTCGAACAGAAAACTAACAGTTTTCTACAATTGTTGATTTAATATATTTTTTAACAACTTTACATACAGCCAAACATAAAATAAATAAAAAATCCACATTTAAGCACAGGATTTCTCTTTTCTAGCAAGTTTTTGTTGCTGCAGGAGCCTTTTGACGCATGATTGCTCCTCAGAGTTTCAACCTGATCTCTTTATGGAATAAATTAATAAACTTTAAGTTTGGAGCATGAGATAAATAAACTGTTTTTTTTATTTGATCCATAGATCCAGCGACCGACTGCAGGTTTGTGTTTGTTTCTCTGCAGAGTTTTGTGTGTGTGTGTATATATATATATATATATATATACATATATATATACATATATATATATATATATATATATATAACCCTAAATATATACAGAAAAAAAAATAATATTTTTATTTATTTGTTTTATCTCATAATTAAGTTCATGATATTTAAATAATAAACGTAAAATGTCTGAATTTAGTCTACATATTACACAGATGGAAAATGTTCAAAATTAAAGCCCTATAGCTTAAAAAAATCATCTATGAGAAACTTTTCAGATTTAATGTTTCGTTTTTGTAACGTGTCAGAAGTTTTTGTTTCTGTTATTCAAAATTTAATTTGTAACATAGTAAAATGATGTAGTTAAAAAGTATATCTGTATTTAGGTTTTTTTAGGATTAAAAAGGGGAAAAGTAAAATATGTCAACAAAATAAAATAATAAATTGTAACAGCAATGTGGCTATAAATCAAATAAACTGAAATCAAAATTTAAATAATTTTAGTATAAAAAGTGTTTTCAGTCAAAATTTGGAAAAAGTAATATCTAAATTTTAAGGCCAGAATCAGAATTTTATTTACTTTTTCCAATGAATATTACTTTCTTTTTTGTGTTTGCCCGAATATTTTATCATTTGAACTCATCACAGATTTATGTTTTCCTCAGGTTGGCATTAAAACATTATAATTATAGTAGATGACACTTAATCAAAATGTTTATTTGCTATAAAATGTTGAGTCAGAAGTATTTTTAAAAATATTTAAATTACTTTGGGCTAATGTTGCTTTATGTCCTAATTATTGAGACGTACATCTAAAAGTAATTTCACACACAAATATAAATATTTAAATGAATGTTACATTTTAACATTAGCATACTTTGTTAAAAGATTTGCTGTGTTTTTTCTTTATTCTGCTTTCTCATGTTGTTGTAGCATGTGATTATTTGCAGCTTGGGGTCAATAAGTAAAATTTTTATTTTATCTTATCTTAATATAAAATAATATAATATAATCAAGGTCCAAGGAGACATTATTGTCATTCGCATCACATGGTACATGAGATGGATGTGTACTCAAGGTCCCAGTTGCATCCAAAAATAGCAATACAGTAATATAAACTATAAAACATAAAACAGTATACAAGGATCTAAGATATACGCTAAACAATATTATTATTGTATTATATATGGTGTATTAAACAGCAGCCTGAACATGAGTCTTTTGTGAGCAGATGGGTATGAATATAGCAACTTATGGGTAAGAATCAGCAGCATGGATAATCTGCAGCACAGATAAAGTGTGATTATGAATAATATAATGAGTTCTGTGATGGAGGTAAATTCAAAGCAGTCCCCTCAGATAAAGTATTAAATTATTATTTTTATATATGGATGTTTCTGTTAACCTATTTTTACATATGTTTCAGTTCAGTGCCCTGAGATGACTTCTATTGTGACTTGGCACTTTATAAATAAACTGAATATAATATAATATAATCAGAATCTGAATCAGTTTATTATTGCCATGTCAATGAACGAGGTTCACAAAATAGGAATTTGCTTCGACATAAGGTGCGAATAGTAATAAAGTAAAATCAAGTAAAAATAAAGTAAAAATTAAGTAAAAATGAGAACATTACATAAGACATAAGACCTGTGTACACCCACAAATAAAGTAAAATTAAAAACATAACATAAACATGTGTACACCCATACAATAGAAAACAATAAAAAAAGCTTAGAGAACAGTAATAATAATAGTAATAATAACAGTAGTAATAATATAATATAATATAATATAATATAATGTAATATAATATGGTGCCTGGTAAAGTCTTACTGAATAAATGTAATTTTAATTTTAATGTGTTTTCTACACATAAATTATTTCAGTAAAGTTTGCTTTATAAAGAGCGTTTGTTGTTTTTAAACAAAACTTTTATTTTCAGACTTGTCATTTTCACTCCGGCCGCTGGGCGTCGCTGTCGCTCTCCCTTTATTTCGACGAACGAACCGGGCGCGTCGTCGTCTGTGGGAGCGCGCGCGCACGGAGAGAAAGAGCATCTGCTTCGAAGCGCGCGCGCAGCCTCGGTTCAGACAAACGGTCGCGGCGCTGAAGGAATTAAAAAAAGAACGAACGAAAAAAAGGGAAACCGGCGTGGACCGAGCCGAAACTCAGCGACCCCGGCGTTACCAGAACCAAAGCTTCCGGTGCTCAGCTCCCACCGGACCGAGCCGGGCGGGTCCGAACCTCCACCCTCACACACCGACCGTGTGATTGTTCGGTCGGTGAGGATGAAGAGGAGCAACCAGAGCAGACGGGTCAGTGAGGCAGCTTTTTAAAAATTGTTTCATGTTTTTGTTTTATTTGTTCAGCTTTAAAAAACTCTGCAGGTCCGAGGTATCTTTTCCTAAAACTGTCGGAACCAACAGATTCTGATCAGTCATCAATATTCATGTCGCTCCGCAGAGAAACAGAAACAAAGCTGAGATTTTTTATATTTTGTTGTTTGTTTGCTCTAATTTAGTCAAAAAAAAAAAAAAAAACAGCTTTATTACACATTAATTAGTTTAATTCTGTGTAATTTAGACTTTTTTTTTTTTAGCTCCTTTATTCAACTTTTGTTTAAACAGCCTTTAAAACCTGGAGTGAATATTTTATTTCATTTTTCATTTTTGGAGCAGTTAAAGCTCATTTTTCATCAGGAGGCATTTAAGAAGAAGAACAAACACTGATTGGACTGATTGTGTCACAATGTAAAGATGTTATATATATATATATATATATATATATATATATATATATATATATATATATATATGTATATATAAAAACTTGTGTTTATTACAGAAAAAGGTGATTTTATGAGCTGTTTGACAGAAAAGTTTGAGTTTAATCAGAACAAAATCACATTAAAGAAGGTTTTAAGACGAATTGGCAACAATTAAACAGCTTCTGAGATAAAACGATGCAACTTTTAGCTCGTTAGACAAAATCTTTTTGAGTTTTATTCTTTCAGATAAAAGACGAATTGTTTCACCAAAGAAGAATCGGAGAACCTGACTCAACCTCATTAGACTTTTGGAGTCTTGCTGTTTAATTTTGTTGCTGCTGCTTCGTGTCTTTTTTAAATTTAAAACCTCTTTGCTGAGTTTTCTTGTTCTTCCTCCTTCTGTCGGAGTGGAGCTGTTATGTAATTAAAGTAGGTCAGACTGACAGAGAGCAGCCAGATCATGACAAACACCATCACCATGAAGATCTGCTCTCCTCCTCTTCATCAGTCCAGCCTGAGACAGAAACATCCTCCTCCTCTTTTTGTTTCTTTTTGCCTCTGATGGTCTTCGCTCTTTTGCTCGGCGTGTTTCAGGGCCTTCAGGACTCCGGTCCGCTCGCCGCCCAGCAGCCGGAGAAGGCAGGTTGGATTCGGAAGTTCTGCGGTCGAGGAATCTTCAGGGAGCTCTGGAGGAGCCGTTTTGTGGTGCTGAAAGGAGACCACCTCTACATCTCGGACAAGGAGGTGAGGACGAAAGCCCAAACGCTGGCTCCAGATTGTTGGACGGCACACAGAGGATTGGGAGAGTTCTTCTCTGATGTGTTGGAACCTGGAGAGGTTCACGGCTTCAGCAGCTGCTCGGTGTCAGAAACGCCACTGTGGGTTAGCGTTAGCACCTGCGTCCTCGAGCTGCAGAAGAGATGAATTCACGTCTCAGACTTGTGAAGTAAATCTGTGCAAGTGCTCACGTCACGTTTCTGTTGATCCGATGAGTCAAACACGCAGGGGTTTCCTGCTGCTCACATTCAGCACCAGAACTGAGGCGTTTCTTCTCGAAGAAAATAAATAGTTTGGATCTGTTGCAAAACCCCACGGCGCCCGAGGAGACGGCGGGCCCCTCTATCTTAATGTTTTTAAAGACCTGTTGGTATGAAAATGAAAGCAAGGGGATGCAAACAAGCACAGAAAATATAAAAAAAGACTCAAAGCAACCACACGGTGGCTCAAAATGAACAAAAAGAGCCTAAAACACCCTCAAATAGACTCAAAATGATCACACAAAGGTTTGAAATAAACAAAAACAAGTATTTTTTTATATTAATATTTATATTTATATAGAAAATATTTTATTCGCATGGTGGTGCAGTTGGTAGAGCTGTTGCGTCTCAGCGAGAAGGTCACAGGTTCAAATCCTGGCGCGGGACCTTTCTGGGTGGAGTTTGCATGTTCTCTCCGTGCTGAGTTTTCTCTGGTTTCCTCCACAGACCAAAAACATGCATGTTAGTGTGATTGGCAACTCTCAACCCGCCTCTCGCACAGTGATAGCTGGACATGGGCACCAGTGACCCGAAAAGGAAGAAGTGGGTAAAGCTAACAGATGGATGGATATTTTCAAATATTCATAATATTTATATATTAATAACTACAAAATAACCACATCATGTATAAAAAAATAATCGAAAAAAGACTAAAACTGACCACAAATAGACTCAGAAACGGCCGCAATGTCTCAAAATGACCACACAAGAGTTTGGAATAAACAAAAAGCAGTTCAAAAGAACCTAAAATTGACTCTAATTACCCACACACCAGTTCCAATGTATTAAAAAAAGGCTTTAAACAATCACAGAAAACACCATTGATCCAAAAATCATCCACAATAACCAGAGACTCAAAATGGCAGCAATGAGACTGAACAACCAGAGACTGCAAATGAGCTCAAAGACAAACCTGTGTCAGACTCAAGGCCCGGGGGCCCAATGTGGCCCTCACTGACATCTTATCTGGCCATCAAGATCATATGTGAAATGTAAAATACTTTTATCTCTTGAATTTTTTCAGGAATCTTTTGATTATGATTTTGAAAACACAACAGAGAACATCAAATGAGACCAATCAAACTGGATGCAAACTAAACACAAAGAGGCTCAAATCAACTCAAAACACAGAAACCCCTAAAGTTATCACCAGGAGAATAAAAATTGTTCACTTGAATTCAACTACAAATGATCCAAAGTACATTTAACAACCACAGGGACCCAAAAAGATCATTTAGACATAAAGGTTTTAAAAAGAAAACGTAAAACAACCAATGCCATTAGAAAAAGAAGCACAAGTTGCCTTCTACTACTTGGTAAAATACAAATTAAACTAGATAATGTAGAAAATGTGTCTCCATATGTGGTAAAATCTGTGTTAAAGGTAGTTTTAGTCTAAATGTTGGACATTACAATAAATAAAATCTAAAACAAACCTTCGTATTTCCAGTCAAACGTATCAGGAGTTGTGCTTTTAATTGTTTCAGGCAGATTTGTGTCACAGAAATGTCAGAGTGAGACGATTACTTTATTTTCCAGCTCATCCGAGTCCACAGACTCACACAGAACTTGTTCCTCTTTTAAAACGGTCCAACTTCCCAGTGAGAAAAGAGCTGACGGTGACTTTTTTCTTTAACGCTGTGACGTTTTGCTGCAGGTGAAACCAGGAAGTCAGGAATCAGGCTGGCGCTGCAGAGGACAGGTGAACAGAAAGTCCGTTTGCAGCAGAGGTTGTCGGACCCCAAAGTGCTGAGCGCTCGCACTGGTTCTGTTCTGGCTCCTCGTTATGTAACAGAACGTTATGCAACGGCACGCAGAGAGGGTTGCAGGACGCTGAGTCAGAGCTTTTTGTAAACACTTTCTTCTTGCTTTTGCATCTCAGCCGATAAGTTTCAGCTCTGCGGAGAGCAGACAGGCGGACCCGAGGAGGAGGAGGGCGTTTGCAAACGGTCACAAGAAGCACGAGAAGGCAAGCGTTTGCCACGCTGAGGCTGTGAAAACGTTCCACATCCGACTGAGCTACATAAATACACCACCAAGTTAGGTTTATATGATCCATTTGCATCAAAACAACACCAAAATATGCAAAACATCCTCAAAGTGAAAGAAAACAACAACAAACAGACAAAAACTGACCACAAAATGAGAATTTATAGAGACAATACAGGTACAACAGCGGTTTTTAAGTCACTTATCAGAGATAGACTCAAACTGGCTATGTAAGGAAATGTAAAGAGAAAAGGTTCTGACATGGATGGATTTAAATTAGAGCCCGACTGATATGGAAATTTTGGCCATCGCCGATACTGAAATTGGGAGGGGAGGGCTAATGCTGATGATCAATATAATGGCTGTGTAGGAGTTGTGGTTTTGTCCCTGGTGTTGCGTTTATGTCTGTGTTCCCCCCGATCCTCTGTTTCTCTTTATAGTGTTTGGGTTTCTCTAGTATCTAGTCCCATCTTGTGTCATGTTCATGTCTTGCATCATCTTTCTCCTTCTCTGGCATCTGTGATTACTCACAAGTGTCATCACTTGGTCTAATTGGTGTTTCCTGTATATAAGTCTGTATCTCTGTGTTAGTCCTGGCATTGTTATCTGTCCACTGGTGATGTCCTGTTCTTTGTGATGCCTGTTCTGCTCCTCATGTTCATCTCCTGGTTTGTGTAAGTTTGCTGCCCCATCAGCTCTTTTGTTTTGTAAAATAAATTCCTTATTTTATATTATCTTGAGTCCTTGCCTGCCTGCACCATTGGGTTCACCAGCACCAGCCAAATGTGACAGGCTGAAGCTTTTTGAGTTTTGTCCACTCCCAAGAATCAAAGTAAACAGCTACTTTAAACCTGTTTTAACACTTGAAGTCTTGAAACAGTCTTCCTAACGTGCATTCACATTTTCTATCCTCCATTATTCACCATCAAGTTCTCAAGTGTGGTACAAAAATATAAATTAAGCAAAGAAACACTCTTCTCTGTTCATTGTTTAAACTGTCACGTATGGTGAAGGTCTAATTAGCATTGACCGCAGTGGCGTTTATTTATTTTTGTAGAGAAGTGAAGATTTCAGACAAAGAATGCATTTCATTGAGGACGACAAAGATAACGTTACTAACACCGATATACATATACATACATACAGTATATGTACCACTACATTGGATTTATTGTTCTGGATAAACGTTTACAAGGCAATAGCCTATGCTAGGTTATCTAAACGTTAGCATGCTAACTTGAGAGGTTGGAGGGTTGAAGACAATTTATTATTGTTGATTTCTTTTTAAATTTTACAGATCAGTTAAAATAACCTTACTATACTCTGTTCAACAAAATATGATACACAGTATCGCTCCCTGCTTCGGCTGTGCTGAACGTGAAAGTTAAAGTGAGCGGCCATGTCTTGAAAGTATTACGCATGCGTCCTCTGCTGGATACATTGTATTGTACAATTATGCCTTTTGCCAGTAAGGACACGGCTTGTTCCCGATGTTCATATTGGTTCATAATGGGACATTTATCACAGATACCAATATGTCCCGCCTATATCTGCCCAAAATATCGGCCCTACCGATATATCGGTCGGAGCTCTAAGATAAGAATTTTTAAAAACTACAAATTTGACATAAAACAGCCACAAAGAGACCAAAGAAGGAAAGAGAAGATCACAAATTAATATTAAACAAAAACTGCTTGTATCTCACTGGACTAAAACTGTTTGTGACTAGTTGGACAAGTTTGAATGCAATTTATTTTTATTTGTCTCCTCCAGTCAGATACAATCTGCTTTCCTAGACTGCCAAACACTATTTTTTTGCAAGTAGCGTAACAGATGCTAACAGTTGGGAGCTGATTTGTCACGAATATCTATCTTCCCTAAATAAAACATTTCTGCTATTTGCCTATTTATAATGCACGTGAGTGTTTTTGAACATTTCCCTGGGATGACGACAGATGCTAAAATTAGCTAGAACCATTGGTAAAAGTAGCACGCAGTAGATAAAATTAGTGAAAATGCAATTATAATTAGCAAAACAAATGCTAACACTGAAATTAGTCAAGAGTAAGTGCAGCAAAACAAATGCTAAAGCTAAAAGTTGCGAAACGATAGATAAAATTAACAAAAAGTTAGCTAAAGGCTAACATGAGCATAACATGAATTAAAATGAGCAAAACGTATGCAAACATTAGTGAAATGGTCACTAAAACTGGCTAAAACAGATGCTAAAGCTAAAATATACAGAATAATTTAGCTAAACAAATCCCAATATTTACAAAACGGTGGCCCAGAACATGCTTGACTTGCATCTTTTCACAAACCCCAAACTTTTGCTGCAGCATTTAATTCAGTCTTCTAATTTGCTTTTGGAACATTTACTTCAAAACACGTTTTTAAAAGATTTTTACACATTTAGCAGCACTAAATATAAATCAGCTGTTTTATCAGAGACATGTGTTTGTGTGCGTTTTGGTTTCATTGTAGCAGCAGAAACTTGTTGTGTTCTGTGGAGGTCGACTGACTGAAGCTGCTTCATCATGACTCACATTTTTGACCCCGTCTGTGTGCGTTTTTTCATTATTGCATCACTTAAATTATAATTCTTCAATTGCAGGGTGAAGACCGGTCTTAAGGCCGGGGTTAGTTATGTTTAAGACACCATCAAATGAACGAGTCAAATTAACGTCTGAAGTGTGCGTTTCCTGTAATTATTACCCT